ACTAGAAGTGAAAAAATATAACGTGCTCATCATATTTTTAGCTTTAGCCAGACATCTACAGCAGAAAACATGTTACTACAAATTGTTGTTGAGCTGTTTTTAGCTTTTATAAAATTAAAACTGTCTAAATTAAATAAAAGTAAAACTATAGACATGCTGTATGTTGGATAAATGTGGGGGGTGTTTGACATACTTGTCAGGCTGTGTGTGGGCATCACGTTCAGGAAAAGTGATTTCAAATAAATACCTGAAATTTTCTCGTAATTTTCACACACAACGTGTCATCTCCAACTGGAAGAAACACAAATGGAGAAAACTAAAACAGACGGCAGAATCTTGTGTATTTCAACAACATATTTATGAGGAGAAAAAGACTAAAAGGAAAATTGGAAAAGTGTTGTTTTTTTTTTTTTTCACATTTTTGCGCATTAAAAAATGAATATGCTTCTCCTCATGTGGGTTTTAAAATGAAAACATTTTGGATTATGTGAGTTTAGTTTGGTCAAATAAAAGATAGATTCAAAACTTGTCTCACGGGTATGTCTTTAAATCCTAAGAACGTGGAGACGCAGTGTCCCTTATGTTGGACAGCTGTGCGTAAAAGGCGCATCGGCTGCGCTCTGTCTGTGAGCTTGTTCTCGGTCACTTTGGGAAACTCCACAGTGGAAAGGGCTCATTTTAATGTTCATGAGGGGCTCGTTTGTCTCCCGTTTTACTCCTGCTCTGCTGAAATTAGCTTTTTAGCTTTCCGGAGCAGGACAGCTGCATAAAATGTCCGATAATGTCCAAAGAATAAAAACAGACCCTATCCAAGTGAGCGTAAAAATGCTCCACGTTTTCTGCTTGGATTGTAACATTTTCAGGAAATACATAGAATCCGAAATTAGGCTGGAGGTTGGAAACATTTTAGCAAAAAAATAAATAAAATTACAGATTATCTCAGCTGCTCTGGGCGGTCGAAATTGTCAGCAGGTCGAGATGGAAACTTTTTGCGTTTTTGCGTTTTGAGGGTCGGAAGATGTGTTTGATTCTGATACAGGTGTGTGTGTGTGCGTGTGTGTGTGTGTGTGTGTGTGTGTGTGTGTGTGTGTGTGTGGTGGTGGGGGGTTCAGAGCTGCCAACTGCCAAAGGAGGGAGGGACAGTAAAACACAGAGCAAGAGCTCAAACTATTTTCCCTGTCTTGTTTACAGCTGAGGAAGAGCACGACAGTAATGTGAAGGTGGTGGCTCAACAAGTCGGACAGGAGTGTGTGCATGCGTGTTCAAGGTGGAGCAATAAACAATTATTACAAAATATATTTCATATGTAATAATTTATACACCTGTACAAAGAAATGTGTATTTGCTGAGTGTGTCACGTCAAACGTGTCTGAACTTGTTTAGATTTAAGAACAAAATGTGTTTCCAAATGTAAATCTGTGAATTTGTTTTTATAAATTTTCCTCAAATTGTGAAGACGAGATATTATAAATCTGTCTAGATGATTCTTTATGAGGAATAGATTTGATGGAATCGTATTTTAATTGTGTTAATGCAAATAATTTAATGTCCAATGCGGCTTCTTCGGATCTCCCCACTTGTGTCAAAAGATGCGAGCAGCTGCGTGACGCTTTGCAACATGCAGCGCCTTTTTCTTACTCTTGTCCCTCTCCTTAGTACATGACAGCCTTTGGTTTGAGCCACAGCGACCTGATCTGTCAGCATTTCATGTTTGATTTGAGAGGAGCAGCATGCATGGCGGCAGATCAGCTCGGTGCAGCCGGACCCTAAAAAAAACCCCAGCTGCAAACAGCCTTGGAGCAGGGAGGACCTTCATGTGAAGGGAAAATGTCGTTTTTGCTCTGATTGTCTGTAAACACTCTCAGCTGTAAGTGGAAATTTAAAACGAGTGTAGAAAAATAAATAAAACGAATGGAAATTTACAAGCCTGTCTCGCTGTTTATGTAACAGACACCACATCTCGTCCAGCAATGTTTCGGAAGGGAGAAGCTTATTACCACAGGGTGATCTCGCGAGAGTTTGACAGAGGGTGAGATTTGTCGGGGGTTGTAGTTTTTTACGACCCTTTCTTTTGGACTGATGGTGTAGAGGTGTGCCGGAGGCGCTTTAGGGGCGATCTCTTCGTGCGCCACGGGCCTGTGCGCGCCTGTCCTGGGGATCCTCAGCTCACAGAGCACCTTAAAGTGAGGAGTGACTCATGCTCGACTGACCTCACAGACTGGCATCACTTCAGCCAATCAGCTGCCTGCCGATGTTCTCCGCGGGGCGGGAGCGCGCGCGCGCATTCCTCTCCAATGAGAGCATCCTTTCATTCATAAAGTGGCAAGGGCAGTTTTTCTCTATCGGAAGCGTGGGCTCGGAGCGTTTCATAATTCTGACTGAAACCGTCCAACCTGTTCTGGAAGCAGCCAATGGCTGAGCCCGGATGGGAGCTGGGCTGCGCGGTTCGTCCAATCACAGCGCACTCCGGTCTCTTTCAGTCCCGCCCCTCACACGTACAGAAAACCGAATGAATGGGAGAGAAAGCTGTGTGGTTGATTGACAGGTGCATGCGCCAATCGGAAAGGGAAGACCGGCCGAGGGACGGCTCGTGCAGCCGGTAAGCAGCGGAGGGGGGCGGTGCGCTTCAAATCAGGCTAGACAAGTGTTGGGTGTGTGTGTGTGTGTATATGAGTGTGTGCGCGATGCTACAACCTCCTTATAAAGGGACTCTCTCACGTTGTGGCTTGGAAATTAGAGCACATTGCCTAAAATTGAGGTCTCCACACACACACTCTCTCTCACACGCCGAGTCACGGAGAGCCGGAGGATGAGCATGGAGGAAGTGATCCGCAGGGCCGAGACGCCTCTCCTCTGGGTCGGTGCGTTCACCGTGGCCTCCCTGACGCTGTGGCTCCTCTACAGGCTCCTCACAGGCTTCAGGATCTGGATCTTGGGGAACGGACAGCTTCTCTCTCCTAAGCTGGGCAAATGGGCAGGTGAGTCGAGTTGGAGCTTCTTTTTTTTCCACGCCATGACGGTGAAGGAAAAATAAAATAGATGGACTTCCAAAAACAGCCCCCAGAACAAGGTTTCCAACTTATGCGTTCAGTCAAGCCGGTGTTTTTTTGTGACTTTGGGGTTTTTTTAGTTAAAGGGTGGGGGTTTGTGGGGCTGCTGTTGCGTAACAAGCGCAGGTGCAGCAGCTGATTGACTGATTGACATCATTGAGCTTTTACTTTTATGTTTAAAGTCTCTGTGCTGCCAAAACTGGGGCTCCAATCAGGGTTTTCACCCACATTCGGAGCCCCGTGGGTGTGTGTCTGTGTGTGGGGGAGGACAGGAGGGGGTGCCCCACATTGGTGAGGCATGAGCCAAATTGCGCAGGCTATGCGCACTTCTCAGAAATGTGCCCTCTCAGCCTCGTCGAACCTCAAGTAGTCCAAATCTCCATTTTTTTTTTAAAGCGTGACCCACATTCTGATCCATTTCCAAAAGTTGATTGGCAGGTTTCCGAGCACAAACGTGTTTCTCCTACTTGTCATTTTGAAATGGTGACTTTGTCCCAGTTCTGTGTTTTTGTCCATGGTTTTTATAACGAGACCAAAATAATTTGGACCCATTGCGCTCGTTAGGACTTAACAGAAGCCCCCATTAAGTATTTTTGAGAGACTTCTGGTCTCGGAGGAGTCTCCTTGCTCGGTTTGACCCACTTCCTCCCCCCAGCCTCCTGTTCCAGAGAGGACTGCTGCGTCTGGAGCCTCTTCTCTTGCTGCGCAATCTGTCAGGCACGCGCGTTAATTCAGGGACATTCTCCCCTTTTTCAAAAATAAAGAAAGAAAGCAGCAGGAGAAATTCTCGTTTCTTGATTATATAGAAATGGATTTTTATGTAACCTATGACGCACATGAATCTTTTTTTTTTTATTTTTTTAATGGTATAAGTGGTGCTTTTTTTGATGATGGGTGAAAGTAAAGTTAAGACTCCTTCACTAGACTTTCAATTGTAATATTTTTCTCGTGGTTCTGAGTGGAATAAACGCGGAGGGATGCCGGGCACTGTGACGAATCTTGCTTGCTCATCGTCATCCATCGGTCTGACTCCCCCACCCGCCTCCCCCTTCTCCTCCCCAACACGAGGGGGCTCCTTACTGCGACTTGCATGACCAGAAGTGACTCCGGGAATTCGTCCACGCGAATTCGTTTCTGTGTGGAACTCCCTGGTGTGAGTCGGTGCCACCAGTCTGACCAGTTTGACTCCAGAGTCTCCAGTCAGAAAACGGTTGGGAGACGGCAGGAGGTGAACAGGTATGGAGGGGTGGGGTGGTGGTGAGATGTGAGCCAGGGATGAGTCCTCCTCCTCAGCAGGTTGGACCAGGTGCTCTGGTGCAACCAGTTTAGGCGGTGGTCATTTTTTTTTTTCCTTTTAAACGCACAAGTGGTAAAACTCCTCACCCCCAGGATCGATGGCAGCATGTTCTCTAACTGATAAAACAGTAAAAAGTACATTTTTAGGTCAAACATCTTATAAAAAGTCATCTCCTTGTGAACTAATTTTGTCTGGTGTTTAAATTATTGAGACTAATTTGGGTCCAAAGCTACAGAAATCTTAGTCTCCTGACGAATTTCACCTTAAATGCGTCATTATTAAAACATCCTGATTAGCAGTTCCTATCAGTGTGCACGTTCTAGTAAAGAAACCTGATGACCTGGCTGCCTTGGCAACGAAAAGGTGCATGAGATGGGTAAACTGCTTGACGTTCACCCTGCAACATTGAAACTGGATAAGAAGCCATCTGACTTGGCAGGAGCAGGAATGTTTAGTTCTGTTCTCGGTGTGTCATCACTGTTGCGTGTGCGCGCGCGTGGAGCTCTGCAGCTCTCAGAGCAGGGATTTCTCAGGAATACCCAGGCCTGGCTGCTTTATTTTAAAGCGATGTGACCCCTAGTGGCGAATGAGAGTATTGCAGCGTGATGGTTTCCCAGCCTCTTCACTGCAGCAAAAAAAAAGACTTTTCCTACAGTGTGAAATATTTTATCACAAATGGATCAGTCTTAAGAATATTCAGACATCATTTTAATTTAGTTCACAAATGTGTTTTTTATATTAGTTTTCCACTTTTCTCCTTTTTTTTAATGCAACCCATCATTTGACTTGGTATATAAAGCTGATGGTGGCTGTTCTGGTCCATGCAGGTGAAACTGCATTACAAGTAAATGCATTTAGACCAAGTGGAGCTTTCTGTGGGGATGGGAGAGGGTTGTGAAAGAGCCCTCCCCTCCCTGTTCTCGCCTGGACGTGAGTTTATTGAGAAAATGGTTTGATTATATAAGAAGGATGCAGCCATTTCATCAGCATAGCATGAGCGACAAAGACTAGGATCAGCACAAGACTTTAGACTCTCCTTCAGGAGTAACTATCAAATCAGAAATCTAGAGCAACTTTAAGGCAAATTTACGTTTAATGTTTATGAATAAATGTTTCAGTTAATTTGTGGTGGAGAGAGTGTGCACATGTGAAATGAAATGTCGATGATGCAAGAACTATTTGTGTGTGTGTGGGAGGAAAAAGCTCTGCTGTTCATGAAACGAACGCGCTCTAACACACGTGCCGCAGCAAAGGATGATGGGTAGCAAAAATCCTTTGCATCACCCCCCATTTTTAAGCCCTTTTCAATCTTTTACTCCCCTTTTCACTTCATCTCCATCCTGTGAGAGTGTGCTCCTCCTGGTGTCACTTCTTCTACGTGGACTCTGGTCCTTTTTTGTATTTCTGGCAGTCTGTCAACACCGACTAAAACGGCACATTTAAATAAAATGTAAAGTTTAAATGTTTTTTTTAATGCATCTTTAACAACCTTAAATCAGTTCCATATAGCTTTCTTTAGGTCTGTTTCAAGTATAACATTTGTTAATGTCCAGGGAACACCACTCTTGGAATAAACTGTCCACTGTCAATCACTGGATCTTCAACTGTTTGGAGACAACCTGATTAAAGATGGATGCCACAGCTTAATGACCAAGGAAGCACCGCTATTCCTGCTAAATTGGGTGTGGTAGTAGCTCAGAGTAACCCTCAACAATTACTGAAAATCTCACAACGGTTTCCGTTTAAAACCTTAGCATGCGAGGCAGATGTAGCTTTGATGAAATGAGCAGGTTTTGGAATGTACTCGTTGTGTTGGTAAAATAAAATTGGGCCTTTATCCCGCATTGCAGTAGTTGTCGTTTTCCTATTCACAACTAGCCGTACACGTCGCACCGCTGTATGTCGCATCATTCCAAATATGTCTAATAAAGTGGAAAAATCCATAAATGCGTCGCTTCGCCGTATAAGTCGCATCCATCATGCGTCACCGCTGACAACCCAGAAATGTGGACCGGTGTTGTGCCAAAAATCAACTGGCTGCCAAATAGTGGCCACGGGAGCACTTTAACAAGATTAACACTTAAAAACAATCATTTGTTTGCTTGAAATTATAGTAAAGGTGTGTCTCAGTTGAACTTTTACTTAATAAATGCACTTCAAACGGCGTCCCTGTCCAGCAATCACTGTGAGGGGCGGCGTTCACCCTGGACGGGTCGCAAGTCCGTCTAGCAGCTGAAAAATGGCGGTGTTCAATATTTTCAGTCAGAATGAATAACGGTCATATCTCCGCCAAAAATTGGTTCATAAATATGAGGGGAAAATATCCATAAATGCATCGCTTAGGCGTATATAAGTCGCAGGGCATTTAAATTATACAAAAGAAAGTGACTTTTATAGGGTGGAAAATATGGTTATCTCATCCTGAGGTGCTGTTAATTTAAACGTGGCTCCCACCCGACGACTTTCTCGAAGTAAGCTCCCGTGGAAACGCTTGGACTTTAAACGCCTCCATCGCTCACATTCTTTTGTAGGTTGTCATCGCCACATTATCGAAGTCGGTGATGGGTCGCGTTATCGAGACGCGCAGTCTTGGGCCGCCTGCATCGTCACAGGCAACACTTTTTCTATCGTTTTTGTCTGACACTGAAATTGGTTTGTTGGGAGATGCTGCCATGTCAGACTTTCTAGGAGGGGCTCGCAAAGAACGTACTGTTCTGATTTATCAAGAGCCATCGCCAAACGTGTTGCTAAATTCTGTGCAAATATCTGGAGGAACTCGTCAGATAAATGCATTGTTTTGAAGAGACATTGAAGATGGAATGTTGCGCGACTGATCTGAAGGGTTACGGGGGTAAAGGTTGCTTTTTTTTATTTTTTTTTATTTTTTTTTCCACTTGTTTTTGGGGTGGGGAGTGAGAATAGAAGGATGCACCAGCAGACCTTTTTAATATCTGCCCAGTAAGCATGTTGCATTTTTCACACTGCTACACGTGCATTTATTATTAGGACTAAAACTTTACTTTTATTTTAGCCGGAGAACACGGCACGAGTGGAAAAACGAGGATATTTTTTTCCTCGGTGCCCAAATATAGAAACCGTTTCTATCTTGAGCAGCTCAGAAGTGCAGGTTTTATTCCCTCTCGTCTCCCACTCCCTCACAATCTTTATTTTTGTCGACTGTGCCACGGCACTTGCCTCGTTTGTGTGTGCACTTTTGAACATCAGGTGGGTGAATAGTTTATTTTTTTTTTTTTTCTGTGCGACAGATTACAGAACTGTGTGTAAGGAGAGTGGAGTAGGACTGCAGTCTTTGCTCACCGAGACCTAATGTCCAGTTCTTTGTGTTAAAAGGTGGCTCTCACACATGGAGTCCACTTGCATGTATGCTCTTGCCTGTTTCCAGGGCTCATCTGATCATATCCTGTCTTTCCTCCTCCCAGCTTGCAGTGCTCACTCTGGCATCAGGGCTTTGGATGGGGGGGGCTCAACATTCAGCATCAGCCTGGCTGTCGTAGCATCTTGTTGGTATTCAGGTGCTGCGGCAGGCAGCTCCCAGACGAGGCAGTGGAGGCGCTGCTATTTTTACTCTTGCTGCTTTTTTTAGACCCTCAGAATAGTGAGCAGGGGCTGCTCTGTTGAGGAGGGAGGGAGAGACAGGAAAGACTAGTGGGGGGTGGGGGGGGTGGGTCAGTTTCCCTGGATGTGCTGTGCAGCTGTAGTGCAAACGCGCCCCCATCAGGGTGCCTTGAAGTCAGCAGTGCTGGACCAGTTTCTCAGAGAAGTGATGGGAGGAATGGGTGAGGTGGTGTCCACACCCCCCCCCCCCCCTTTTTTTTTCTCTCCCCTTGCAGCTTTTCAGTGCTCAAACATGCGTTCACCACGCTGGCGTCAGTGTTGCTGTAACTCACGTGCTCGCTTACGTCTGTCTTTGTTGCGTTGGAGCTTTAAGTCACTGATGTCACGGTCACGTGACGGGGATTTAAATCCTGCTGGGAGAACTGGGATGGAGAGCAGGCGGCTGGATTTAGCTGGGGGGGGCGGGGACAGACACTGAGGGAGAGAATCTTCCTTTTTATCTGAATAGTCATTTTTTTCTTTTTTGCAATGACTTTAAACACGGTGACTCCATATTTACCCCCTCCCCCAACTTATCCACTAACATTGAGTTCAGTGATTGAGAAAAGGGTGCTCTTCTGTAATGAATGGGGGAGTGCAGCCATTCATGAGCGTGAGGACTGTTGGAAAGGGGAATGGGTTTTGGTTCATGTTAATATCGATAAGCTGTACTATGTTAACACAAATCTTTGAACACATTATTTATTTGCTTCCTCTGGTCCTTCCCAGCAGTTCTAATGCTTAAGTCCTATATATTTTTATACATTTTTGTGGGGGAGGAGGACATTTGATTTCAAACGCATCGTCTGTGTTCTTAGATAAACGCTGATTTTAACCAGAAAATCATAACATAAGAAGTGCACAGTGAAGGTTCTTGATTAGTGTTTGGAAAGTTACAAACTGCATTCCTGAAGTGTGCAACATCTCTGACATGAACTCGGGCGTCATCGGTGTGAAAGATCGCCCTGACGGATGGAGCGAGGTTCACAAGGTGCTCCTGTACTTTGCATTGCAACCACATGCAGTAATGCATACTTGTGTCGTTGCGTGTGTCCCGCAGAACTCGAGCAGTCGTGCTCGACGTGCATACTTGTGATTCCAGTTCTCATTCCACCCGACAGGTTCGAGCCCTTCAACCTGAAACTCTGTGGTTTGAGCACACTGTGTTCATCCCAAACTGACTTTTGATCAAATCTATTAAGGGGAACGAGGTTCATGAATTGAGGTTCTTATTAATTCTTTCATGGATTTTTATAAGTGTATTCTTTGAAGGTATTAATTTATCCAATTAAGAGTTGACTATGCATTTCTTATGTTTTTCATCACATTGATACTTTCTGTTTTTCTGTAGCTCCAGTTGTGCTGCTTTTCATTCTCCCCGTGCAGCGTTCACACCATTTTTTTTTTTTTAACTTGTAGAACAGCCTGATCCACCTCCATGTTGATAAAGCTTGCCCCCCCCCCCCCCCCCCCCGCCAAACAATTTTTGCAGCAACTGTAGCCTCTTCCTGCATCTGCCTCCCCCCACCTGCCTCTGCAGCCACAACCTGATTTGGTTCTGCCTGTTCCATTGAGGCTTTTCTTCCATGGAGCGTTTCATTCTTAACATGGGGGGGGGGGGGGGGGGGGGGTAAAAATAACGGGATTCTTGCACTATTCCTCCTTTTGAGTTTGTTCATTCGTTCCTCTCCTCCACTCACTCACCCCTCTCTCTTCTCCTCCACTGTGATCTCTGTTCCGTCGTTCTCCTCCACTCTTTTGTTCTCTTGCTTCGCTCCAGTTCTATTTTTAGCCACCCCCAGGATCCCTCCCTAACCCACTTCACCCTCCTTTCTCCACGTTCGTCATCACCCACTTCTCGCATCCCCTCATCTTGTCTTTTTTTAATTCCTCATCTTTTTGCAAGAGAATGTCCTCTACCTTTATGAATGTTTCATGGAGCCATGTTTATAAAATTTTGATTTTGTGTAGACCACAGCTGCAGTGTTCCCTCATCGTTTTAACGTCTACTTTTTTTAGTTTTTCCCTTTCCCATCCTTTATTCATCCGTGCCATCCTCCCATCAATCAAATGGGGGGTGGAGGTTGATGGGCAGTGAAGATTTAAAAAAAAAAAGCCCTTCTTGCTCGACAAGGTGAAGACAAACCCTGAACACCAAAACATCTCTTCATGCTTCAGCCTCTTGATGTATTTATCAAACTATTCATTTTTATTTTTTTTTAAACTAGAAAAACTGTTCAGCTTGTTCGGCTGGTCTGATTTTACTGGCATTAAAATATTGATTTTAGGGTGAAAATCATTTGCATCTTTGCGGAACGAATCAACTTTTAATGAAGTTGGTGAATCCCAATTTATTTTTTATTTCCTTGATTTTTCTCAGTTTTTTTTCAATTTCCATTTAATGTTTTTTATACCACAATCTACACTGAGACTGTTGCAAAATCTGTTTATATGTTGATTTTAATTTATTTTTGGCTGAGTAAAGAGCTGTCGGTGCAGAGCTTAAAGCAGTCCTTCCATTGTGGCAGGTGAATTACATGGCAGGGTGTGTCTTTAACAGATTTGCTTTGTCTGCATCGTCCAAAGACATCTGGCTTAGCTCCATGTCAGGGCGTTGATGGCTGCAAAGTGGCCAAACCTGATGCATACATGCTGTCAAACAAAGTCGGAATCCTTTGTTGTTTTTAATTATTTATTTGTATCCCCAACTTTTACTGCCTCGGAAGAGATCAAGTTGTAACGCACATTTGCCATGAGTTCATAAGAACCAAAACTCATCTTTTTATGCATTTTTCTTTGTTTCCCTCCAGTTGTGACTGGAGCCACAGATGGAATTGGGAAATCCTACGCAGAGGAGGTAAGACTTGTGGACCCAGTTCATTTCACTTCTTTTATTAGGAAATCTGTGTCTCGCACACCGTTTGCTCATGGGCCAGAGTAGAAGAGTATCGTGCACACGCTTGAACTCACAAGAGCTCAGACCAGGATAACAAATGCACATGTACAATCACACTTTCTGTTTACACTTTTAATCTAATTTTAGACGAAGCGCACAAGTCATTAAGTTATGTAATGAGCGGATGCATTTTTTTTTTTTTTTTTATCGAGAAGTTTAAATGCACTTCTAAGTCAGATTAACAGTTCTGAGTTCATTTTGGATCCAAGCACCGGTTTGTCTTGTCACCATCAGTCGTTACAAACACTGTTAAACATCATATTTTCCACCATAAGTTAAAGTTAATTCTTGTCCTTAAACTAACAAGAATGAGCAGCAGAAAAATTGTGACCCCCATTTTTTTTTTTTTCCATTTTAGCTGGCTCGTCGAGGATTTGCCATGATGTTAATCAGCCGCTCGCAGGACAAGTTGGAAGATGTGGCTAAGTCGCTCAGTAAGTGTGTGCGTTGTAATAAAGGTTGTCTTCTGCAGCATTATGGATAAATGTTTGGGAGTCATTCCCAGTGCTGTCAGTTGTAAGGATGTTGGGGGGGGGGGGGGATGGCAATGACCTCCAGGCATCAGCTGCATCAGTTTAACATTTATGTATATCAATGGTTCCCAACCCTGGTCCCTGAGGAACACCATCCTGCGTGTTTTAATTGTTCCCCTGGTCCAAAACACCTGATGCAGTGATTTAATTACTTCCTCGGGGTCTGCAGAAGCCTGTTAATAACCCACCCATTCAAATCAGGTGTGTTAAAGCAGGAAATGACTCAAACGTGCAGGATGGTGTTCCTCAAAGACCAGGGTTGGGAACCCCTGAATTCTATATAAACAAAGATGAATGTATTTGGAACAAACAAAATTTAAGACGGTCTGGTATTTTGTTTTTAAGCTAATTGAGATCAGATTCAGACTCGTAAGTCTGAGGTCGTGGTTCTCAACCAAAAAAAAATATGGTGGAATTCTTCCTCTGTTGTGAGGGTTGGCGTCTTCAAGCATGTGGGAGTCTTGTTCTATGTAGAATCGAGTCCGAGACGGATCATTAGATTGAGCCTTGCTTTAACGAGGTTGTTGTTTTGGTCACTTGTGGTGAAGAGCCGAGTTGACAAAGCGCTCAATTTATGAAACTAGAAACTTTTCAACCCTCGTCTATGATTCATGACAGAAAAGATAAAGATCCTGGATACACCCACCCATTTTTTTTTTTTTTTTTTTTTTCCTGCTTCCATTTTGGGTCACGGGGGTCGCTGGTGCCCATGTCCAGCAATCTCTGTGCGAGCGGTGGGGTACACCCTGGACGGGTCGCAAGTCCATCACAGGGACACATAGAGACAAACGAGACAAACAACCATTCACTCTCACTCACACCTAGACAATTTTTAGAGTTACCAATCAGCCGGAGAAAACCCACGCGTGCACGGAGAGAACATGCAAACTCCACCCAGAAAGCCCCCCGGACCGGGATTTGAACCAGGGACCTGCTAGCTGAGAAGCAGCAACTCTTCAGTTGTGCCACCTTGCTGCCCATCCTGGATACAATTGGATAAAATAAAAATATTCTGTAGGGTATGTCTCACTGGGTGGAAGACCCCAGGGTGGATTCGTAACTTGCTGGGAGACTGCAACTTCTCTGGCCAGGGACGGTCTTAGGATCCCTCCATAAGGACTGGTGTCACTGGGGAGAGGAATGTCTGGGGTTTCCCTCGTGGACCTGTTGCCTCCACAACCTGACCACAGATTGGCAGCAGAAAATGAATGGATCTTGTTATAGTTTGTGAGAATAGAAACATTTCTTGCCTTTTCATTTGATACATAAGCTGAAAACGACTAAAAAGACACTTCCTGGTTTACCCCCGTGCGACACTGCCTATTATCAGCAATAATAACGTAACTTTAAACCTACTAGGAGGTAGGTTGGACAGTTTGACCGCTACATATGGGGATAACGGCCATTTAATGGACTGCCAACATCCAAAGCCGCTCTTTTCATCCTATTGGACATCCTGTTGGACCTAGCTTGTGCTTTTGTCAGAATCTCAAACTGAAACCTGCAAAGTGTTGCGTTGACTTTTTCCCTAACTGATGAATCAGGCTTTACTCGTTCAAGATGAACTTGTTGTAACCAGTTTTTCGTGTGACAGGATGCAACTTTGGCCACTTCCGCAGCTTGGTGTCTTTTTTCCATCTGTCTTTTGATGGTTGCCACAGAGAGATTTTCCTGTCGTGCTTCAAGTCGAAAGAAGGGGGGCTGATGGATCACGAGCAGGGAGCGGCTTGCCAAACTCTGGCACTCCTTTCCTCACGACTACTCTGACAAACCCGCTCTCTTTGCCATGTAACCTGGCAACCCTCCTTGTCCCACCTTTTTTTAAATATTTTATCTTTCTGTATTCTTCCAAATGTTTGAATCTCGGCTGCGTTTTATGGCTCGCTCCAATGCACCCCTCCAGTTTGGCAGCCAACATTGCTGTCGTCATACCTTTTTTTTTTTTATATACATTTTATCATTATAATTCTGATTTTCTATTCTAGATGTAGATCTTGGAGGCTTCCAACAACTAAAATTCACAAATGTCTCCCTCCCTTTGTCATCTATCTGCTGAACAAGTCTTTGTACAATAGATTGTAATTGAAGAAGGCAATCAAACATGAGGTAGAGGGGTCGAGGAAGACCACTCGTGTGGTTTGTTGACGCACAGCGCCCTCTTCAGCTCTTCTCTGACAGTGACCAGTTTAAAAAATACTCTGAAGTTACTTTAAAACAGATCATCTGTTTTTACTGCATTAATGACTCTTGTTATCTACCAGGATAAATGGCCTTAAACACGCCCAACAGTCACATGTGTTGCTCTTTATAGAACTTCATTTGTTCGGTGTAACTTTCAGCGCATCAGTTTCTGCTTCTTTTGGGACGGTATCTAATGAGCTCTTGTCTCTCACAGAGGAGCAGTTTAATGTGGAGACCAGGACAATAGCTGTTGATTTTGGGAAAACTGACATTTATCCCAAGATTGAAGCAGGACTGACCGGTCTGGAGATTGGTGTTCTAGGTAAGAGCTGCTCCACGATGACTGGAGTTGATAAACTTTTTTTTAAATTTTGTTTTCTGTGATCTTTCTGTGTGAGAATACACTAAACATCGTTTTGTAAAGACTTGGCAGCATCGAAGTCCTCGTGCCCTCTTTACGTGTGGAGGTATTCAGAGTTTCTCACAAGAATAGTTTAACTTTTAATTGGAACGGATTTACTTTAGCGTTTTATTAAAACTTTTTGCATGAGTGTTGCTCATGTTTAAAGTTTTTACACACGATGCTGCCTTGAGAAACCCATTAAGTCACTTAAGTCCCCTCGTTTCTGTAATTCGAGTTTAAATCGAGTGCAATTTGTGTTTGATATCTTTACGGACCTGCAGAAGCTCAAGCGGTGTCTTCTGTAGAAGTGTAGATTTTTGGTTCATGTTGTGCTTTTTTAAACAGAACATTTAAGGAACTCTTTGTTCTGTTTTTTTTTTTTTTAACCAGTTGTGCTCTACTGGTTGCAAGGTGTGGCTGAGTCTTTAGTAACTGCATGTTTATTGCCTGTTTGCCTTTTGCTGCCACCTTCTGGTGCATCTTTAGGTGAATTTAGGCTCGTTTGGAGAAAAACACTGGAGTAATCCTCCTCTTTTATGTTGTCTTCCACAGTTAACAATGTTGGTGTGTCTTATCCCTACCCCGAGTACTACCTTCAAATTCCTGATCTGGACAATGTGAGTGGATTTTTATTTCCTCAAGATCTTAAGCTGGGAGTATAATTTCAAATGACATGTAATGGAAAGCCTTGTCTTTTGTTTTGGCTAATTATTTTCCCGTTATCTGACTCGTGATCTGTGTTTCAGTTCATCACAAACATGATCAATGTCAACATGACCTCACTGTGCCAAGTAAGTTTGTAGGACTCTGCTCCCTTTCTGTTGTTTGCACAACCCAACCTATGGAAGCCATCTTCTCCTCTATTTTGCTGTCCTCCTTTTTCCTCTTCTGTTGTTCCTGCCGTGGTACCTGCAGTGTCTCCGTTGTTCCCAAAGCAACGGTGGACCACACCAACGCTGTCTGTACTCTCCACCCACGCAACTCTTTCCCTCTGCTGCTTTCTGCCTGTCTCCCTCTCTCTAGCCCTTCTACTTTTAGCTTTTTTCCTGCCTTCTGTTTTCATCTTCCCTTCTTTTCTTGTCTTTGAGTCATTCGTGCACTGTTGTTAATGGGTTTTTTTTTTTGTTTGTTTTTAAGATGACTCGTCTTGTGCTGCCCAGAATGGTTGAGAGGTGAGTTGAAATGACAGGCAGACATGACTGCAGTCGAATATCGGTGTGGTGAATGATGGGTCGTTTGCTCAGAGTGAAACAATAAGGGAATAATTTGGGTGTTTCTGTTTAAGAGCGTTTGTGGAAATGCTGCTTCATAAAGCTAACGCTTCTCAGTAAGAAGTGGGACAAGAAATCCTCAATAAGCTCGTCTCCATCGCTGCAGCTCTTCTCCTTTGTTCACAATGCTGACAAGCTTTCAATTCACACAAAGTGCTCTTCCCTCCTGATTGGCTGCTCTTTTCCCATGTGACTCCTGCCAGCCAATCGCAGCAGAGGCACATTTGGTGCCGTGTGAGGCTGGCGCATCTTCACTACATCACTGCAGCAACAGGCTGCCATGGCAACGTACGTCCACTACCACTCTGTTTTTAGTGCGTGTGTGCCACCGCAATGCCACTTTGTGTCTATAAACATTGAGCACGCTGACAAATTCACACAACGTCCCCGTCGGGTTAAAAGTGGGTTGGATGTGAGGAAAACATTTTTTTTAATTTTAAAGTTCACTGGTATATTAAAGCTAAAACAAAGATGTTTTTAATTGATTCTACCTGGATTATTGAGCATGCATCAGGATGTTTTTAATTGTCTTTTTTTTTCTTTTTTTTTTTTTTTTTTAATGTTCCTCAGGTCCAAGGGTGTTATCCTCAACATCTCTTCTGCCAGTGGCATGTACCCCGTCCCTCTGCTTACAGTCTACTCTGCAACCAAGGTTTGAACCTGTCCCCTCTAATCTTTCTAGAAACAAATCTTAATCAAAGTTTTAAGCATTTCTTTAAAGGTGCACATCGTCTGACGTCTTTTGTGCCAAAGTTTTAACCAAATGCGTTGTGGACGACTGTCGGCCTCTACCGTGTCAAAGTTTAGCTCCGTATTTATAAAACGGACAGAGTTGGATCCATTTGTTTTGCAAGATGGATTAGCTGCAGAATCAGGTTGACACCGAAGAGTCAAGGTTCTTGTCATTTGCATCATATGTGGTACAGGAGGTGGAACAAAATTGTGTACTCGATGTCCCAATTATACCCAAAAATAGCAATAATATAAGGTATCCATTTTCTTCCGCTTATCCGGGGGTCGGGTTGCGGGGGTAGCAGCCTAAGTAGGGAGGCCAAGACTTCCCTCTCCCCAGCCACTTGGGCTATCTCCTCTGGAGAAATCCCAAGACGTTCCCAGGCCAGTCAAGAAGCATAGTCCCTCCAGCCTGTCCAGTGTCTTCCCCTGGGTCTCTTCCCAGTGGGACGTGTCTGGAACACCTCACCAGGGAGGCGTCCAGGAGGCATCCTAACAAGATGCCCGAGCCACCTCAACTGGCTCCTCTCGACGTGGTCAAGCAGTGGCTCTACTCGGAGTGAGCTTCTCACCCTATCTCTAAAAGAGAGCCCAGACTCCCTGCAGAGAAAACTCATTTCAGACGCTTGTATCCGAGATCTCGTTCTTTCAGTCACAACCCAAAGCTCATAACCATAGATGAGGGTAGGAACGTAGATCAACCGGTAAATTGAGAGCTTCGCCTTTTGACTCTGCTCTCCACCACGACAGACCGGTGCAGCTCCTGCTTCACTGCAGATGCTGCACCGATCTCGTGCTTCATTTTTCCCTCATTCGTGAACACGACCCCAAGATACTTAAACTGATAAGTATAATATAAGGTGTGTTTCCTGGACTGATGAAGCCTTCTGGATGGAAGGTGAAACGTTTCGGCACAAAAAAGAAACCGTCCAGATGACCCGACTGAAAATTGTTGGATGTAATATAAAGTATATTAAAGAAAAAAACTATACATGGATCTAAGATACGCTAAAAAAAATTACATAACAGCCTGAACATGAGTCTTTTGTGAGTAGATGGGTATGGATGCAACGGCTTACAAGTAAGAAATCAGCAGCATGGATAATCAGCAGCACAGATGGTGTCAAATCACCAATTAAAGTGATCACAGTGATCATTATGGTTAGAGATTAATGAGTCTTAACAGCTTCAGGGTAGAAGCTGTTCCTCAGTCTAGTGGTTCTGCACTTAATGCTCCTTAACCTCCTTTGAGCGGTGCAAAAAGTGTGTGCTGGGTGAGTGGGGTCCTTCATGATGCAGGTAGCCCTCTTCCTGCATCTGGAGGTGTAGATGTCTGATGGTGGGGATGCTGACTCTTCTGTGCAGCCTTCACCACTCTCTGCAGAGCTTAATCAGTTGCATGTGTTTTTCCAATGGCAGCACGGTGGCGCAACTGGTAGAGCTGCTGCCTCTCAGCGAGCAGGTCCCTGGTTCAAATCCCAGTCCAGGGGCCTTTCTGGGTGGAGTTTGCATGTTCTCTCCGTGCATGCGTGGGTTTTCTCCCACAGACCAAAAACATGCATGTTAGGCTGATTGGTAACTAAATTGTCCCTAGGTGTGAGTGAGAGAGTGAATAGTTGTTTCTTTCTGTGTCCCTGTGATGGACTTGCGACCCGTCCAGGGTGTACCCCGCCCCTCGCACAGTGATTGCTGGACATGGGCACCGGCGACCCCCGTGACCCAAAATGGAAGAAGTGGGTAAAAGAAGATGGATGGATGTATTTCCAATGATCATTGTCTGGAGTTTCATTAAAGTTTGTCTAGTGGTTCATGAGATATTTTACTAACGGACTGACGAATAAGCAATGGCAGCTACATTGTTGCCCACCTCTCGTGGTGCTTGGTAATGTTGTGTAAGCATACTTCCTCTCTCAGCCCACATTGTTCAACTCAATGGTGGTGCTGATTTTACCTGTCTAAATAAAGGTTGATTGATGTAGCATCGTGTTAAGTTTGACCCCGTTTTGTCTTTTTTTGTCTGCAGGCTTTTATAGACTTCTTCTCTCGTGGCCTCCAGGAGGAGTACAGGCGTCAGGGAATTATTATCCAGGTGAGTTGAGATTTAATCTTTTCATAATGAAAAGCACTTTTTAAGACTGACTGCATGTCGATAGTATTTTGTGCTTGTTCACATTTTTAAATGTTGAAACAAAAATAAAGCGAGGACCAGATGGCATTTAGGTAGAATCCTTCACAAACTTTTGCCTCGTTTATCATTTGCATTATCGTTAACATCCTTGAATAAATTCCCATCTAAGATTTTCACCCCCAACCCTTTGAGTGAGTACAGTCTACAACATGTTTTCACTCATGTGCCACCTGGTGGTAGATGTGTGTATAGATGTTTCAACTTTTTCTACTTAAGATAACAGACATAAGAATCAGTTTACAGCTAAGATATTTGGTTAAAGTGCATTTTTGTTGACGCTAGCCTGACATGTTCTCTGTGCAGAGCGTTTTGCCCTTCTTTGTTGCTACTAAAATGACTCGTATCAGGAAGCCTACTCTGGATAAGCCCACCCCAGAGCGTTACGTGGCGGCTGAGCTCAACACTGTGGGTCTGCAGTCTCAAACCAACGGCTACTTCCCCCATGCTGTCATGGTAAGAAAGAGGACTTTATTCCACACCTTGGAAGCTGCATTCGTTCACATATTTTACAGTAATAATGGGAAACTCACCGCTTTATTGGAAGGGGGTGACTTATACTTTTTTTTTCTAGGTTAGTTCAGCCACGTTGGAGTTGGTTTCTGTGTTTAACAAGGAAATGTGAACAATGAATATCTCACCTGTTAGATGAGTCTTTGAATTGCCTGAATTTAAAGAAGTGTCCAACTGGGCTGACGAGTTGAGGCTAAGACTAAATTTATAGAGCCTTGACCCTCCCCTCCGTATCGGATTAGAGTTTTTGCACTGATTTTTGTTTTGGTCATTTGGAAAGGCGGCAGCAGCTAACTGTAGCAGTTTATATGGGTTCTATGGCCCATATGGCTTTATATAGGCTCAGTGGTTAGCACCGTCTCACAGCAAGCAGGTCCTGGGTTCATTCCTCAGTTGGACCTGGGGTCTTTGTGTGGAGATTGCATGTTCTTCTCGTGCTTGCGTGGGTTTTCTCCGGGTACTCCAGTTTCCTCCCACAGAACAAAAACATGCTAGTTAGGCCCAGGTCTGCCTTACTAAAGAGATCTATGATCTCAATGGGATTTGCCTGGTTAATTAAATTAAACAATATGCAGCCTGGGGGCATTTGCAAGTTTAATTTATTGCTGCTTTCTCACAGGAACATCTGTGTTGCATATATGGGTAGACGATGCATGCGCTGATGATGCTGAGATACAAATATCTGTCCTCCTGATCGGCTTGCTTAGTCGTTCCAATTTTTTTTTTTTTTTTAACTAGTCATTCTCTCCATACCATGAGTGACATCACCGTCGATAAGGTGCCAACTGCATGACGGAACATCACGACATGTTTAGCGAACCTATTTGCATGAGTTCACAGATCTTATCGGAGCTGCAAGGATGTCGGTCTTTGTCAGAGCTTCAGGTGCAGTTTGATCTGGCGCCAGAATGAGATAAGACGCATACTTATGACGTGACGATCCTGCTGCGCCTAGAGAAGACGTCTCTAAATTTTTTATCTTTCTATCACAAAAAAAATGTTTGTAAATTCCTTTAACACAAGTGGACTTAACACCTGGACTGTTTCCTTGATCCCACGCAGGGCTGGGTGACCACCAGGCTGGTACCAAGCAGCATCGTCATCTTCCTGGGAGCCCGAATGAACCGCCTGCAGCGCACGGGCTACCTGAACAGGAGGAAGCTGCGCCAACAGAAGAATGGAGGGAGCTTAAAGAGTGAATAGGAAGACGATGCAGGCGGCTGCTCTTTTTCGGTCGCTTTCCACGTTTGAGGAAGAAGGGATCAGTCCTCTAAAGCTGCCTGAGCTTTAACTATTTTGTGCCTTTTTGGTCGAAGCATCGGAACACGCGTGACCTTGCGTTTGAAACTGCAACCCTCTGCTCTGATTTTTGTCTGGGGGAGAAACAGCCAAAGAAGTCTCGAGTGAAACGATTCAAAACTGATGCTCTTTGGAAAAACAACATCCAAATGTATTTTTGTCACAGACACTCATGGTGGAAATAATACAGCAAAACAAACAAAAAAAAACAAGTGATGTGTTCCCCCCCCTGCTGTTGTAAGCAGTGAAAATGGTGATGGGCATCTTTTTATATTATATAAATTATTTATCATAAATTTGTATAAAAAAAAAAATGTACGTCTAACCCAGAACTTTAAAACTATCTTAGAACCTAATTCTGTTTAATCTTTAAAATGACATAAGTCTGCTTTTAATAATGTCTATCAGCTTTACTAATCTTTCACCACTGCTGTCTTCTTTTTTTTTTTTTTTTTTGTGTGTTTTTCTAAAATTGCATCTTAAAAACGTCACATTGTGGTGGGTTCACCTTATTTGTACTAAGCCAAAGTTTGTTCAAACTCTACAGTGCCTTTCTCTCCACAAGAAACTGTTCGATTTAGTGACTGGGAGTTGGGCGGTTTTATTTCTTGTGACAGGATCTTGTCCACTCTCTATGTGAACTAGTTCTTCCTCCTAATCACATTGTCTTCCTCCTCCTTGGTAACAGAACGCATATGGAGCAACGATTCCTCTAATTTATAATTTTAGCATCAAGTTGTAATATCACTTTGCTATACATTTGGAAGATTAGTTCACATCAAATATTTACTGTATTTTAAGGTAGCTTTTTTTTGTAGTTTCCCATATGTGGTCTGACCAAAAACTGTTTTTGTGAAGTTTTTTCTTTTTTTTTTTTTTTTTTTTTTTTAATTATTGCATTGAAATGTATTGTTGCATTTATTCTAATTATTAAAGTCTTTATTGTTTATTAAAAGCTTTGCCAGAAGAGTTTTGTGCTGCTTTGTGTATGAATGCATCATGTTTGTGTTAAACTGTGTTCAAGCTTTTTGTTCATGTCCAGCAGTGGCGAGAGATAAAGCTGCTGTTGACAGAAACTTGTAGATCAGTGAGTTCTTCTGTATAATTTCACTTGTGGAGAAGTTTGAGAAGAAGCATTGGTCTACACATCCAAAGCAATTTAAAAAATAAAGTGCCTGGACTTCTAGTCAGTGGTTGAAGTATGGCTTTCCATCCAGGGAGCTGTCTGGATTACAAGCTTTAAACTGCATGAGCTGCTCTGTTGTGCAGCTAGATGCGTGTGCAGATTAATATCACTCCCCTCCCACCGGAGAGTCATCAGTGTCTTTGTCAAGCAATAAGTGATGTTTTGATCACCTGCATGTGTGCAATGTGTGAACTAATGTGAAAGTTACTGGTTGTCTGGTTTACTGCTTGATTGAAAGTTTTGGAAAGCTAAACCGAGTCCGTATCTTTATTTATTTTTTTGGTCTCGTTTGCCATGTCGACAATGGTGAGTGGACAATCTAACCCACTGTCCGTCATGAAATAAAATTTCAAGTTTAATAGTTTTTACGTATTCGTTCTGAAACAAATTTACAGCATTCGTATAAAATGAGTGCAGTGCATGTATCGGTGACGATTATGGTTGTCGGCTGCTTTTATTTTGAATTGAAATCAAAAATTAAAATAAAGAAATGGTCTTTTACCCGCTTCTTCCTTTCTGGGTCACGGGGATCACTGGTGCCCATACCCAGCAGTCACAGTGTGCGAGGCGGGGTACACCCTGGACAGGTAGACAACTATTCACTCTGGAGGCAATTTAGAGTTACTAATACCGAACATCTGTGATTTTGATCAGTAGGAGGAAAAGGGGATACCCGGATAACGCATGCAAAAAGAGAACATGCCCAGAAAGGTCTCTGGCCAGGATTTGATCCATCAACCTCCTTGCTGAGAGCTCTACCAACTGAGCCATCGTACCACTAAAATCAAGATAATTTGAAATTACAGTTCGTCATCGTACAGAATGGTAATTACCAGTGGGCTTTAGAGCACCTCAATACTTTGAAGTTTTCCTTGTTGCGAATGAGACTTATTGCTTTCAGTTAAAGGTAAAAAAGTGATTATGTAGGTCAGAACATACTGGTAAGTTGATGAGCCACACGAAGATCTGAGAAAGTTGTCGAAGGTAGGATTTAAGACAGGATTATTTGTGAAAGAAATGGAGCACCACAGACACCATCTTTGCTTCGAGGACGCTGATTGAGAAGTACAGAGCGCGTCCGAAAGAACTTCACTGTGTCTGTGGATTTAGAAAACGCATATGACAAGTTACCGAGGAACGAGGCGTGGTATTGCACAAGGAAATCTGGAGTGACGGAGAAGTATGTTGGTAGTAGGGGCAGGTGGAAAAGTGAGGCTACAAGGAGAAGAGGTCACAATGGTGCAAGATGTCAAACATTTATGGTCAACTGCTCAGGCAAATGGGGAGTGTGGTGAAGAGAAGAGAAAGGAAAGGTTTACAAGACTGGTGAGAGCAGCTACGTTGTATGGAGGCAGAGACATGGACAAAAAGACAGGAGAATCACTTCTTGGTCTGTTGCCTTCATACATCTCCTACATGTCTCTGCGTGAGTGCAGCTACAGCGTGCGCTCTCAGGACATTATTACCTGCAGTGTTCCCTCAGTTCGGACTGAACTAGGCCAAAGGGCCTTCTATTCCGCTCCTGTTTCCTGGAATATCTTGCAAAAAGATCTGAAGCTCTCGACCTTAACCTCTCTAAGTGGCTTTAAACATCTGTTAAGTTCCTGGGGAAGAACAATGCAGATGTTCGTGTTTTTAGTATCCTACACCGCCTTACAACGTAGCCGTTTTTTTTTAAACATTTTGTTAAATACCATTTTATTTTCACTTATTCTCAATTTGTATGCATCCATTATAATTGTCTATTGTTGTTTTTGTTCACTGTTGTCATCACTCTTTGTTAAAATCAAGTCTCTCTTGTAAATGAGTCCCCATTGGGATTAACCTGTATAAATAAAGGTTGAATGGAAAAAAAAAAAAAGAACTGGAAGTAGCAGAAATACCCTGAGGCTGTTAGTCTCATGAATCTCTAACCAGGATAATCATTGAAAAATCACATCATGTTGCTGCTGATCTGTTTCATGTGTTCATTTATACTCATCTGCTCACACAGACTCATGTTTGTGATGCTGTTCGACGTAAAGTTTTTATGCTACTAGTGCTTAGTGTATTATTTAGTTGATGTTTTTCTTAGTTCACATCTTAGAACTTATTACTGTTTTTCTTTTACATTTTATTGTTGGCTGTAAATGGGACCCTGTGTACATCATCTCGTTCCACCACATGCACCACATGAGACGCTAATAAATAAATCTCTCTGACTCAGAAATGAAGATGTGGAGGTTCTCCTTAGGAGTGACGAGGATGGATAAGATTAGAAATGAGCTAGTAACTGACAGAGATGTTATGTTCATGTTAATGTAATTTTATTTATCCACAAATCGTTTAAAATAAAAGGTTACTTTCAAGCAGTCTCAAACCGGATGTGACGTCGGCGGATGTTATTATCGGTGCAAGTAATGGCGGCCAGCGGAGCATGAGCGGAGTAAGTTCATTCAACCTTTATTTAGACAGGTATTCTTTGTTTGTTCAGCATATCCAGCTCTAAAGAGAAGGATAAAAGATGTTTGTATTTTTGTGTGTGATGTTTACTGCTTGTTACGTTTATGAAGGTTTGTCACAACGAATTTTGAATTCAAGCGGAATGTAGCTTCATGCTAACCTGCTGCTTTCGTGTGTACATAACTCCCTAAAAGTTATTTTTAAGGTTTAATCTTTGTGCTCGTAATTCTCACGGTGGCTAAAGTGGTCTGACAATGGAAGATCAGGTGATGTTCAACTAAATAAAGTTATCAGTTAATAAGAGCTTGTTTTTCGTGAGGAGGCAAAGATCACCAGAGGTACACACAGGTTGAAGACTGGGAGATAAAGTGGTTTGGACATGTCCAGAGGAGGGACAGTGGTTTGGACATGTCCAGAGGAGGGACAGCGGTTATATTGGTAGAAGGATGTTAGAGCTGCAGCTGCCAAGAAAAAGACAAAGTCAAGTCAACTTTATTTATAGAGCACATTTAAAACAGAACCTGTTATCAAAGTGTTTAACAACATCAACAAAGAGGACATGTATGGGTGCAGTCAGAGAGGACATGAAGGTCGTTGGAGTGAGGACAGAGTCAGGATGACTCACTGTGGAGACACTGAAGAAGGAACAGCTGAAAGAAGAATTTAGCGTCACAAGCCCCTGTAATTGTTATTTTATGGATTTCAAACCAGGGAGTCGCTAATCTAAATAACTTAAATATTTGGTTAAAAAGCAAACAAACAAACAAAAAACACAGTTTTACATCTGTGTTTGTGGTAGAGCATGTTTTTATGCGACGTCGTAGCCGTGACTGTCAGACATCCGGCTATCTAGATTACAATCTGGGCAGTTCTTGCTTTATCCATCCATCAGTTATCTTTACCTGCGTTTTCCTTTTTGGGTTGTGGGGGTCACTGGTGCCCATATCCAGCTATCACTGTGCAAGAGGTGGGGGACACCCTGGACAGGTCTCCAGTCCATCACAGGGACACATAGAGACAAATGAGACAAACAACCATTCACTCTCTCACACACACCTAGGGACAATTTAGAGTTACCAATCAGCCTAACATGCATGTTTTTGGTCTGTGGGAGGAAACTGGAGTATCTGGAGAAAACTCACGCATGCACGGAGAGAACATGCAAACTACACCCAGAAAGGTCCTCAGCCGGGATTTGAACCAGGGACCTGCTCGCTGAGAGGCAACAGCTCTACCATCGTGCTGCCCAGTTGTTGCTTTATTAATGTATTTTTATTTTTGTAATTTCGGTTTAATTTTCTTATGTTCAACTGCATTTCTGTGTATAAAGTTTAAATATTAATTTAACTTGGTCTGGGTGTGTTGCGTGTTGTTCATTTACTTTTTCTATGATTGTTATACTTACGTGGCAGCACGGTGGTGCAGTTGGTAGAGCTGCTGCCTCTCAGCGAGCATGTTGCACCGGTTCAAATCTCGGTCCGCGGGCCTTTCTGGGTGGAGTTTGCATGTTCTCTCCGTGCATGCGTGAGTTTTCTCCGGTTGCTCCGGTTTCCTCCCACAGACCAAAAACATGCATGTTAGGCTGATTGGTAACTCTGAATTGTCCCTAGGTGAGTGAGAGAGTGAATGGTTGTTTGTCTCAATGTGTCCCTGTGACGGACTGGAGACCTGTCCGGGTGTCCACTGCCTCTCACACAGTGACAGCTGGACATGGGCACCAGTGATCCTCGTGACCCGAATAGGAAGAAGCAGGTAAAGATGATGGATGGATGTTGTTCTGTACATGTGTTTCAGCTTCCCCAGTGTTTGTTCCTTCATGTATTTAGCTCCTGTTCCCGCCCACTCTCACCTGATCCTCATTGTCCTTCCCCAGGTGTTTATCATTGTCTGTCATTTAGTGCTCTAAATACTGTCTTTTTTTTTTTTGTCCCTCTGCGCATTGTGCCTTATATGCCACTCACGTTTGATCATTCGAGTCTCCTTTGAGTTTTTATTTTGTCATTTTTTTGTGCTGCCTCATCAGCTCTTTGTTTGCCCTTTTGTTAGAATAAATTAATTATTTTTATATTCAAGCATTTAGCGTTTTGGGCTTTGCATTTGGGTTTGAGTCTTTACCAAACGTTGCAGCTTCGCTTCACATACTCTGCCCACGGAGGATTTTTAGGCAAACCGTGAGATGATGTGTTTTTCATACGATAAGATTGTGTTTGTTTCTGCTTCCTTATTCTGACCAAGCAGATCTGATGTGATGGCTGATAAACGTCAGCGTGCGAGAGTGCAGGGGTCCTGGGCCAAGCAACCACCAAAACACTCGGGTCAAACAGGTGAGTAAAGGTGTCATTTCTGTGGTGAAATCTGCAACCTTTTTGGAAGAACTAGTTTTAATCTTTTCATTGCCTGGAAGCATACTCCACAAGTTTTGTTTGTTCCAGGTTTAACTTTCACAAAGGGGTAATGTGGATGTTCATTACAGAACACGATGTACTTTAATTCCTATTTTTTCTGCATGTAAATTGCTTTTTTTTTTTTAAATGATTTATTTCTTCTGGTATCGGACTGGATTGGAGTTGCAGCAGGATGGGGACAGAGCAGACTGTGCTTCTTGAGGAGGCTTGAGTCCTTCTGTGTTTGCATCGGGACGTTGCAGGTCTTCCATGGGACTGGTGTGTAGAGTGCTGTCGCTTGTGCCATCGTCTGCTGGGATGGCAGCGCCAGAGCAGGTGACTTAAAAAAGCTCAACAAGCTAATGGAGATGTTGTTCTGGGGACTCCTCGAGAGTTTTTGGAGACGATTGTACAAAGAAGGATTCTTCATGGAGTGACGAACACTATGGACGGCCTTGGGCACACTCTTCATCGGACTATCGTGCAGCAGCGGGCTGTCGTTGGTCGGAAACTTCTTCAGATCCGCTGTGGGATGGACCACTACAAGAGATCCTTACCTTTTTAGATCCTTTTCTCTTTGTTATGGTGTCTCTCCATGCGTACTGCTTACGTCTACAGTACTTTTTTCAGAAGATATGTAAACACTGTGGCTACTGTGATCAGAGAGAAAAGACTGCGTGAATTAAAAGTTCTCCATCGCCACAATGGATTTGTGGTCCCGGTAAAGCCATCCGATCTAAAGATGATACAGAGGTTCTGCTGACGCAGCTTTCAACCAACAAAGGGAACCAGAGCCACAGTTTGACCCAGTCCGAGCAGGTCAAGCTGTCTGGTTCACGGTGAGCAGCAGAGACAAACTGCAGGGAACGGCTCACCTGCAGCAAGCCAAGGAGGACACCCCGTTACTCCAACAGGACCGCCCGCCCCTTCATAAACGTGATGACGTATAATAAAATATTAAATGTGTGTGTTTGCATGTGACCAGTTCACTCCAGCCAGGGAGATGCCTGAACTGACACACCCCCACCTCCTCCCGCACTGCACCCCAACCTCCCAGGACCTTTGTATCTAATTTTGTATTAAATGTTAAAGTGTGGCAGCACGATGGCTCAGTTGATAGAGCTGTTGTCTCTCGGCGAGAAGGTTGCCGCTTCAAATTCCAGTCTTCATGCCTTTTTTTTTTTCTGGGTGGAGTTTTCATGTTCGCTCCGTGCGTGCATGGGTTTTCTCCGGGTACTCTGGTTTCCTGAGGAACAGCTTCTACCCTGAACCAGTTAGACTCATAAATCCCTAACAGGAAAATCACCGTAAAAAGAAAAATCACTGTAATGCCATTTTAATTGGCGATGCGCAACCTTTTCTGTGCTGCTGATCTCTCGCCTTTTAAGCTGCTGCGTTCATGCCCATCTGCTCACTACAGACTCGTGGTCGAGCTGTGAAACGAGTTGTGTAACATTTAGTGAGTGAACAGGTAGTCCAACTAACGGGCAACTCTATCCAATATGAATGTAGCCCCAAACGACGCAGAAAGCAATGTGCTTTGTGTGGTACCACGAGTCCAGTCCCTGATCACAGGCTCATCTCATGCAGGGGTCGACACAAGAAACTCTCAGGTTGTCCAGTGGACAACCTCTTCACAGAATCTAGTTGTTCGCCAAAATTTTGGGTTGCCCACAACCTTTACAATAAAGAAGCAAAAAAATCTCTAGAAAAATGTAATTTAATATATTGCAATATAAACCAAATTTGTTATGTACTTTATTTTTCGGACTATAAGACACTTAAAATCCCTAAATTTTCTCAAAAATCACAATGAGCCATATGTATTAATTCTGGTTGTGCTTACTGACCTCGAACCGTTTTTTATGTGGTACACGGCGCTCAAAAATCTGTCAAATGAACTTGTTTCGCTTAATGCGCCTTAGAGTCTGAAAAATACGGTACAAATGTTGTCAGGCAGCTATCTTGTGGCCTGCTTCAAATTTCCAAGCTACTGAGCAGACTGTTTCAGGAGCTGCTCAAGTGGAACGTTCTCATCCTCATCCTACAATTCTAGCTGATATGAAGGAAAATGTTCTTTATTTTTATACAGGAGGAGCCCTAAACAGCCAGTCCAGGAATGTTAACACGACTTCAGGTTCTTGGAGTTTTGGAAACCAGACATCCTCCACAAATTTTGAGTTTCACCAATCTGAAAAGGTAAACTGTGGACTATTCTGTTAAAAGTATCTGTGTTTTACAAAATTACAACCATTAGACAATGTTAACTCATTATTTGTATTTTATTCATGGCAGCCAATTAAAGATGTTCCACCTGAGAGGATTATAGAGTAAGTAAGAGTAAGAGACCGCTCTAGAAAAATTAAATTTTTAGTGTGTTTTCTGTTTATTTTGCAACACAAAAGCTAAAAAAATGTCCATGGTTTTACTCTCATCAGGCAGGCAGGTGATTATGAAATCAGTCGTGAACCGTCTGGAGTATCTCGGTGAGTACAGTTTAATTAATCCCAAATAATCTGTTATGTCTGATTAAATCAAATAAGAATAATTAAATAAATTATATAATTACTAGTGTAGCTCCAAACCGTGTTTTATTAAAGATTTATGTAATTGTAGTTCTGTTTTAATCCACTAGGTGGCAGCAATCTCCCACAAAATAATTTATAAAGCAGTTTGTGTCATCACTTGGTTAAAAGCAAACCTGCAGCGATTCTTTCCCTTTTTATATTAAAGCTTTACAAAAAAAAAAAAAATCATACCAAATTTATTTTTATGGTTTTATCCGCTATTGACAATGATTCTTCATGAAGTATCATCTGATGCTTTAAAGACTCTGCCACATGCTGGGTTTTGACTGCACTGTAGGTGAACGAGGAGAGAAAACTATAGAAATATCTTTTATTTCAGAAGAACTTTTGTTTTTAAACAAGTTTAATAATTTTCTTAACTATTCGTTGACAAACTGAACATCCTCAGCACAACTTTGCTTCTCAAAGATTTATCTTATGAATACTACTTAAAAGATTAATCACAATTATTTGTTCAAAATACCTTTTTTTAAAATTGTATGTATTTTGTGGCTAATTTACAACATACATTCCAACTTTTTTTATGTGTTAAAAATGTGTTTACGTGCAAAAATTAGTGTAGTGACAAAATAAATGAAGACAATAAAACCTAAAATGTGTTTGGTTCCTAAGGAAATACGTTGAAGTATATTTTAAAAAAAAAATGCATTTAGTTTATTTTCAATTTTCCACTTCTATTTTTGAGTTGAACTATAATTTATAATTTTTGATTGTAACATTTTGACTATGACAGGAAATAAATTCAATGTAAAATGCAGAGCAGAAAACGGAAAGCGTGTTTGTGTATGGGAGAGCTTTGTTTCTGGTGTTGCCTTACACAATTTTATCTTCTACTTTTAAACTATAAATACCGTCCAAAATCACGTTTTTGGATCGTTAAAAGCAGCTAAGCTAACAGGCCGAGCTCGGGGGAAAAACCTCCGTCTTGTTGAAGCTCCAAAATTCACAGTTCGTGTAAAAAGTTGTTTTTCTCTGCAAATAGAAGCTGAGAACTTGTTTACTGATTTAAAAAATAAAATTTATTAAAAGCTTTATGTGAAAAATGCTAAAGCACTTAAACCATACCGAGCATCCTCCATTTTGAGAACCGAAGAGAGACAGCCCATGTCACGTCAAGGGGGCTCCCTCCCATTTTTCTTAGAGACACGCTGCTCGCTCCCTCGCTATCCGTCCTTCAATTCAAACAGTCTTATTCTGCCATCTGATGGTTGAAAGAAGGTACCACACGCAAAAACAAATTAGCAAACATTTTTTATTAAATTTGACAATAATTACTAATTATTGCCAAATTTCGAACAATATTATCGTTTATCGCAATAATTTCTGGGACAATTTATCGCCCAGCAAAATTTGTTATCGTGACAGGGCTTTGAGCAGCACGAAGTAAAAATGTATTCTCGATATATTGTGCACAATATGAATGTTACCAAGGACCGCTTGGATGCAATAAATCAGATTTTTTTCAAGCTTCAGCTAAAAATATTTTCATTCAGATGAAGTTGCCCACCCCTAAGGATGGTTGTGATGATGGCAGAAAAGAAAAGGAGTGGGTTAATCACAGCTAATCGTGTTTTTAATATTTTATAATCGTATGCCCCCCCAACATTGTGGAGCCCTGGTTTGTACGTTGTTGAACAACATTTTGACTCTTTCTGCGTATGATTTTGTTTATACGACTGATTATCACAACCAAAAAGAAGCTTGGAGCTTTAATGTTGACTGTTTTTTGTTTTTCCACCCAGACTACGTCTGCGACCCGGGTTTCTGTGCTCAGAGGAGGCTGACTGGATGTTCAGTAAACTGCTGGCAGAACTGCCCTGGTCCCAGAAGACTAACTACAGACAGGGTGGGGACCAGAACTGTAACTTTAAATACTGCTTGTTCGCTGCTCCGTCAAAATACTTATTTAAATAATGATTTGGTTCAGCCATTTTGAAATGGGTTTCTGTGGACAAGCTATAAACAAATAATATCTTACTTGTTGTAGATGGCTCTTTGAACAGTCTCCGTTTAGAAAAGTATAAAGTCAAACAGGACTGACGTACGAACAGCCGGTCCAAATGCAGCGAAGAACAAAGTGGATTTCTGCGTCTTAGAACGACGTCAATCTCCAAAATTCCTTAAATTTTCTTGAGAATTCTATTTTATAAAGCTTTACACCTTCTTTAACGTTGCATTACATCAGTATTTAAATAAGCCCGAGAGCTGTAATTCCTCGTTAATCGCGGGGGGGTCCGTACCCTGAAGCCCCGTGATAAGTGAAAAACCGTGAAGCAGGGATATTCAGCTCTCAGCCACCTGCAAGCGCTCTTGGCCACGCCCACTTCTCCTCTCTGCACAGAGAACAGCTGATCAGCTGCAGCAGGAACCTTATCCTGCAGTGTGGGCTGCACAAAGGTGCAGGAGGTGCTAAATAAAATAATTTATTTTAAATAAAAATGACATGCCGATCATCCATCAATCAGTCAATTGTGTGTCATGTCCGATCTTATTTGGAAAAACCGTGATGGAGCGAGACCGCGAAGTAGCGAGGGGCTACCGTATTTGCAAGCACAAAGAATGACAGAAGAAATATCACTTCCTGTAAAGTTTGGAGTTTTTCCTGCAGAATCATGGTATTTCTTGAATAACCGTGTAATATAATAATTTTGTCAGTTGTTGAAGACGCATGCCAGATTTGTGTACGGTAAATAAGTTTGTTTATTGAGAAACGATTTCGAAATTCTCCAGAATGAACCGACGGTTTGGTCCGCTGTGGTAATTTGTGTATTTATTTATAAGAGCAGTCGGTTAAAGGGAAACTCGCACGTTGTTCTCAGCCGTGCAGTGAGCAAGTTGAGATGAAGCCACACTTTGTCTTAAAGGCAGCCTCGGCTCTCGTCTGCCCTTTCCGCTGCTTTGTCCGAGCTGTGTAGCAGACAGACGGAGCGCGATGTAGACGAGGGGCGACGGCCTCTAAACTCTCACAGAGACGGGTTGTGTAATCCCATTTCATTCCTCGGTCTGTCAACAAGGTCATGTGATGTTTTGGAAAAGAAAAAGCTGATACAGAAGCGGAGAACGGACTTTTTTATTACGTTTTAACTCGTCTTGCTTCGTTATCGTACCATGAACTCACCAATTTAAAAAAAATTTTTAAGAGGGAGTTAATTTTTCTTCTAACGTTCTGGTTTCGTCAGCTGTCACATTTTGTAAACCGTGAGAACATCTTTTTATGGAACGAGTTAACCTTTTAAGGAGTCATGAAGGCTGCGCATGTTCATAAATGCCTCCTCCTGCGAGCCTGAGTAATTAATTTGTCTTTTTATAAATGACGGTTGTTTTGGTTTCACTGTGTTCCCAAACCGAAGGGCCGGCCAAAATCTACTAACGGCAGGGAATAGGTTCTTGGAAGAGAGCAGGTTGTTGCCAGAGCAGCACAGAACGAGAGAAATTAGATTTCCTTGTTTGTTTTGAGCTTCTAGAAATAAAATCTGGGAATAAAAATGACGATTGGAGGGAAAACGAAATATCAGGATCGAATTTGTCCATTCTCTGCTCCAACGGTAGAATGAAAGCTTTTATTTCGATAGAACAACTCTGCAACCGCTGCTCCACTGACGCGTGTGTGTTTGTATGTTACACAATTTAAAACGTGTTCGTCTTTGCGCTCACATTTATGTCGGTGATTTTTAACTAACTTTTTACACAATGGCAAGCCCTGAAGAAAGCAAGCAGCCGTGAACGATTGCCGACAGTATTTTAATGTTGTGTCTTTGCGTTTGTGTGATGACGATGAAGGTGAGGCGTATGAAGAGCCCAGGCTGACCTGCTGGTATGGAGAGCTGCCGTACACGTATGCTCGCTCCACCATGTCGGCCAACTCACAGGTGCATTGTAAATAAAATGAAAAATATGTTTTATTTATTTATTTATTTTTATCTATAATTTCCTATTTGGAACTAGAGACGCATCAAACACGGTTCTGGACGTTTCCCATTTCTATTGCCTGCTGCCAAAAGGCAAAGATGTGTTCATGTGTCTGTTAGCAAAATATCTCCTCAACCACTGGATGAATTTTAATGAAACCTGCAGTCGGAAATCATTGGATGCGCAGCTACGTTTGATTTAACGTTTGGAGTCCGCTTGTTGTAAGCTGGCTTCTGTAGAACTGACCTTTAAAGAAACACAAAATGTCTAACTCAGTTTTACAGAAATTAATCTGAAATGTGGTGCGGACGTAGCTGAGACTCGTCCCTACCACGTACTCTGAGCACCAACCAAAGGCTCAAGATCTTTGTTTAAAATTGGACCATTAACTATTCCAAGTCAACTCTGTATGTTAGCAAAACATCTGATGAACTACTGGATGAATTTAAATATTGGGACATATTCACTGACTGGGCTCGTACAGCTAAATAACTTTTGTAATAAACCAATTTCAAGATGGCTGCCACAGCCAACTGACTTGGAAAACACAAAAATGGATATAACGTAATCAATTTTACAGATACTGTGTTAAAGTGGAGATGCTACGGTTGTTAGTCACACACACACACACACACACACACACACACACACACACACACACACGTGCCCAAGTGCTTCTCATTGTGCAAAATGCAGATTAAAACTAAAGCATTAAATGTTGGAGTCAACCTACCGGTAGTTTAACAAAATATCTCATGAACTGCTGGAAAGAGTTTGACAACACGTTCAGAACATGATCATTAGATGTACATCTTCAACTGATAACTTTTGGATTAAACTAGTTATTATCCAACTTATTCTTTTTTGTTTTTGTTCATATTTGATTTTTGATTCATTATTTTTGTAATAAAACTTCGACAGATTTGGTCTCATTTGGATGAATATTCGTTTGTTCTGGTATTGAATTTGTGTAAATAACAGATTCTACTTCAGTGACTGAGTTCTAATTATTAAAGAATATTCACACTTTAATAACCAGGACTCAGTCCCTTAATTAATACAACTTAATACACCATTAATTAACTTAATTACTGGTAATAAAACTTAATTGATCATAACTCAGTCCCTAAATTCATACAACTTAATTAATACACTTAATTAATTTAATTACTGGTAATACAATTTAATTAATCAGAACTCAGTCCCTTAACTAAAACAACTTAATTAATACACAATTAACTTAATTATAGTACTACAACTTAATTAATACACTATTTAACTTAATTACCAGTAATACAACTTAATTAATCAGAACTCTGTCCCTTAATTAATACAACTTAAATGATACACTATTAATTAGCTTAATTACCGGTAATACAACTTAATTAATCAGAACTCTGTCCCTTAAGTAATACAACTTAATTGATACTCTATTAATTAACTTAATTATCGGTAATAAAACTTAATTGATCATAACTCAGTCCCTGAATTCATACAACTTAATTAATACACTTAATTAATTTAATTACTGGTAATACAAGTTGATCAGAACTCAGTCCCTTAACTAAAACAACTTGATTAATACACAATTAACTTAATTACAGTACTACAACTTTATTAATACACTATTAATTAACGTAATTACCGGTAATACAACTTAATCAGAACTCAGTTCCTTAATTAATACAGCTTAATTACTGTATTCATATCAAGTTGTTGCTGGTCGGTAAACTGACCTGCTGGTGCCCATAATACATAATTATATAATAAGTTTAGTAAAGTGAGGAGCAGGTATCACCTTTCTTCCTACATTCACTCATATATGCTACATTTCCTGAAAAGTACTACCAGCAAGAGTTAGTATTTGTCTGGTGCATTTATAGTCCAGGAAAAAAAAAATCTGATTTTTGAGTGTCGGATCAGCTGATCCGTGAAAGTCTGTAAACTTCAAAAACGCCAGCCATTCCATTTTCTAATATTTTGACCAGTTCTCTCATTTGGTTCATATTTTACGTTCACTCTGATTTTTCATCTTTATTTTCTTGCCGTTTTCTCGTAGTGGCATCCGTTGCTGCTAACCCTTCGCGAGGCTGTGGAACGGGCGAGTGGATGCTCCTTTAACTCCCTGCTGTGCAACTTGTATCGAGACGGGCACGACAGCATCGGCTGGCACAGCGATGATGAGGCGTCTTTGGGTCCAAAACCTTCCATTGCTTCTCTGAGTCTGGGGGACACCAGAGTGTTCAGCCTCCGCAAGCAGCCCCCGCCGGTGAGCTGGTGCTGAAAACATCTTCACCTGGTTTTAAATGCACTGTTCACTACAATTCTGAGGCTTTTACCTTTCCATATTTACTAACGTTGAAAACATTTTCCCCAGTTATTCTTTTCCGTTATACATTAATGACTAAAGTGGGTTTGTAATGTTTTTGATGGGCTTCTTTAAAATTTGCAGACACTTTGTTTCTATTTTTTTTTTCTTGTATTAGTAGAAAGAGTTGACAAAGTCAGAAAAATGCTGTTGTAATTTCACATAATCTTGTTTAAAAAAAAAGCTAATTTTGTAACGTGCATCTTCAAGTGAGGCTTGAATGAGAGCTCGTTCTAAACTTTAATTTACTGTAGTTTTAGCTGTTTTGTTTGTAACTCATTTAAACTTCTCTTTTTTTCTTTCCGTCTCTGAACACGTTAGGAGGACGGTGGTGACTACACCTACGTAGAGCGGATTCGGGTCCCTCTGAGCCACGGGACTCTTCTGCTGATGGAAGGAGCCACTCAGGATGATTGGCAGGTGTGTTTCATTATACCTGTCTAATACCGTGTACAACACCACAAACGTCTCCGATTATTCAGTCACACTGTGTATAAATCAACACCATGTAGTTCCAATCTTAACAGCATTAAATTTACTTTTTCTTTTATCCTTTTTTTTTTATTTAAAGTTAAAAAAAAAAAAATCTTTAGTGTTTGTAATTTACCGCAATACAACTGATTAACCTTTATCGTCGCCCCAATTCAAGATGGCTGCCACAGCTAATCATTAGCAAGCACAAAATATTTATTTTAACTTGGTCGGTTTTACTGATATTAGGCAGACTGATGTGGTAGGAGCCGAGTCCACCTGCCCATCCATCCATCATCCGTCCATCCATCCATTATCTTCACCCACTCTGAAAGTGAAGATCTTGCAGCTTGAGATCACTCATAAATTAATGTACAAGGTTTGACTGAAAATGCTCCAACGCTGTCTCTTCTCATCATGAGCTGATCTTTCATGAAAACTGACATAAAAGGCAGCGAGTGATCTGCATCCTTCAAGGAGTATTAGACCTTTCAACTATTTATCACTTTTGATCAATTATCTAAAGAGATTTTACTTCACACAAAGTTTCAACATTATTGCACCTGGGTTCCTGCTCCCACAAACACAGTGACGATGGATGAAATGTCCTGGAGAGCTGAGCAGAGTTTCACCTTAATGAGTCATTTTATTAGACACAAACCAGCTTTATGTGAGTGTAGAAACTGAGTGTGTACCTGGTTTCTGTTATTATGTCTCATGTTAAGCAATAAAAATGTCCTAAATTACCACAATTTAACTTTCACAATGATCAGAGATTAAATCAATACTTGTTATATGTTATATTATGATTTAGTGCTCATGTTTTTAACAAGTATATATCACGTAAACCTGCGTTAAAAATAAAAAAAAACTATCCACATATAGGAATGCGCAATATATACGGTACACAGTTGTCAGATTTAATCGTTACTTTATTTTAGTTGAAAACTGTGCATAAGTAGTGTTAAACTATTTTCTTCGAGAGCTAAGTAGCGAAGCTACAAGCTAACTACGTCCGGCTTGCCGTAGTGTTGTCGTATTTGGATGCATGCGCAAAACGCTGAGTTCCTTCAAAAGTTTTTTTTTTTTCGTCGAAAGTTAAAGTAAGTCTTCTTTAGAGGAACCTGCTCTCTGATCTGTAAAAGAACGCTGTGTTGTGTGATTTTTACTACGAGACCCTCTGATCAAAGCCACAGAGGAAACTGGTCGCCATTTTGTGTCGGCTCTCCTTAAAGCAGAAGGAGACGCCCACTAGAGGGTTAAAGGGTGAAGTGTTTTCAGCGTGCACTTGCTGCTCTTCTTAAGTGAGAAGACTGGAAACTGTTAAGAGTTAACAACATATTCTTTTGTTTAAAACGTATGGCTAAAACTACATTTGACAGCCTTTGCACTGTTTTGCGCTACAAGAAAGAAGCCTAATACTTGATTTGTTTATTTTAAAACTCACTGGACCTAGTAGTGGAATTTTCTTAATTGAGATTATTTTGTGGTGTAGCAGTTTTCAAAATAAATGATGGCAAAAGGACACCCTATGTTTTTTATTTTATTTTATTTTTTTATTCCTGTTGCAAGTTTTATACCAAACGTATCGTGATCTATATCGTTATCGCCACCCTTCACAATACATATCGTGATATGAATTTTATGCCATATCGCACGTCCCTACATGCATACATTTTGCCAGAACTTTCCTCTACCCTGAAGTATATTTTCATTTAGTAAGTGGTAGAGTGACAGATTAAAGGGCACGGGGACAAAGCTTGTGGAAAATACAGGCGGTGAAAAATGTTTGAGCCTCAACGAAGAAGAAAAAACTGGATAAGGTCACAGGTGTTTTATGGTGACACCTCCCTGAGTATCACAACAAAGGATCTGTGGATCCTTTAAGACCTGTCCAGGGAAAGAACATCACGAGACATTAATCCTGTCTTTGTTACTGAAGTCGGAGTCGGTCGAACAAAATCTGTCTCAAGGTGAACCGTTTTAAAGTGAACATTAAATATTTAACTCGACTCTTTAAGTCCAGTAACGTGCCTGCATTCACGGTCAAATAAAGTCCATCTTCTTTTTGTTCTTGGGTTTTGCATACCAGAACATAAAAAAATAAAATATAAACTTGTGTAAAAAAACAAAAAAAACAATTCACCATGTCATAACTTATTAAACATAAACGAGACAAAATGACCTTTAACCCTTCCGAGATGTGCGGTCCTTCCTCCATGACATCGTGTTAACATCTGTCTGCTCCAGAGGAAAACTGCTGCTTCTCCAGAGGCGCTCTCACTGATGATCAATCAACACATTTGATCAGAAATAACCTGGAAACGGCAAAAGTGGACTTACTTTTTCACACACGGCTTTTCTATTTAAACATTTTTTTGTTTAACAAAAAAATAAGTAAAACCCTAGAGCTGAATAAGTTGGACTTTTTTCTCGTCGTCGTATTTTGTTCGAGGTTGATCCAGGTTGTCTTTTTCTCACTGATGTCACTTTCTCCTTAGCATCAAGTTAAGGAGTCCAAAAGCACGTTTGAGGGCAGAAGATGCACTAATGTCGGTCTCTGATCCTCACCAGCATCAAGTGGCGAAAGAGTACCACGACAGGGGCCCGCGCATCAACCTGACCTTCAGAACGATCCATCCAGAGCCAGAGGGCCACAAGCCGGGCACCAAGACGCAATTCATAGCCAAGCAGCCATAGAGTCCCCACAAGGTCGGGTACCAACGGTTACTCAGGGCTACAGTGGTTCAAACACAGCTGTGTGGTGAGAAAAACACGAAACAATCAGTAATAATGCGTGAAATAGGATGAGCATGTCCTTATGCTAAATATTGCCTTGCTGAGCCACTGTGATGTATTTAAAGTTTTTGCCACTCTTTGATTTGAACTGTTATTTTCTGGATGTTAAATGAAAGAAGCAGACGGTTTAATGTGTAGATTTTCTTTTTGTGTGTCATGTAGTGTGTGTTTGTGAGGAGATTTAAAAAAGGTGCATAGCTGCTGTTAAAAGCACGACAGTAATAGTGGAATCATAATGTGGAGTTTTTTGGGTCTAAATGGTATTTTAAGCCTGAAGGTGTTTTTAAAGTGAGCAGCCGTTCTAGGGTCTGCATTAGCAGCAACGTTTTTCTGAAACACCTCTGCCCAGAGTTTTTTCTATACTTTAATTTTTTCCCCCCTTAAATATGTATTATATGTAATATATTAACACTTAAAAGCCAGTAAACTCGGTTCAGTCAACACCGTGTTTGTTGTTCTCTTTTGTATAATTCCATACATTTTTTTGTCACTAGCTAATTATTTGCAATACATTTTTCAAACTAATAAAGACAAAACAAAAGTGGCCTACTGGCTTCATGTTTCTGTATATAATGCTGAAATTCAGGTAAATGAACGATGGTATCACACGGTAAAGCAGCAAAACTGAGAAATCTTTTTAATAAGTTTATATGAGTTAAGTTGAGGCTTTTGAACCCAAGAACACGATCAACCATCAAGCATGATTGAGGAAGTATCGCGCCATCAGGCTGGTGCATTGCACAGTCGGTGGAGCATGGAAGCATTAAATGAACTTTCATTTCTGTGAAGAAGAATGCTCAGATCTCAGCCAGAACCAAGCCTTGTCCATGGCTGGTTGAAGCACAACTTGCTCAGGGGGTGTTAACAGAAATTACAAGAGGGGGTGTACCTATTTGAGCCTTAAATAAAGTACATTTCTGATGCTGTGTGGATTAGAAAAAAACAAATTCAAACTTCACTTCTTGAGAGAAAACGAATGGTTTACAAAAGAAACATTAAAAGCACAAAATTCATGCCTTGATAGATACAGTATCTGCAAACCCTTCAACCTTAATTGCATCTGTTCAAGTTACTTTTTACTTGTCAAACATACCGTATATGGGACACATGCACATACTTAATATAAAACATTTTGTCTGTTGACCCTAAAGAGCCAAATGTAAATTTTATTGGACAGTCAGACCTATGTGTACCAGGGTGTAATGTGAAGTTTATTATGTCAAGACTGAAATCTGGCATCACTGGTTGCAAAATATGGAGAACAGAAAACAAATGCACTTCCATTGACCTTTGAGAGCCGAACAAATATACAACCTAACAAAGAAAATATGTTTGAAAAGTTTTTCATCGCTCTACTTCCTTGTTTAAAAGAAAATCCAATAAAGGTTGGACTTGTGTAAAATATGGTTAAATGGGTCTAACAACGACCCTAACGATCCTCTGTTGTGAAGAGTGAGAGGTCAATCTGCATGTGTCAGTCTCAAGAAATCTTACAGAACACCACAACTTGATAACTTGAATCCCACACTCCTTGTTTCGTTGAATTCAGAAAGCTCCTCGGATGAGAAGCAAAACGTCTTCAGTTACAAATAAAGTCCAGTTGTTTTGTTTTTAACTTTTTTTGGATTAAATAGGTCATTTAAAGAAGAACAACACTAAAGAAACTGCAGACGTTTTTGACAGGCTTCGATTGGGAGCTACACGTGACCATTTCCTCTGACAATTTCCTTCCGACACAGCATCACCTAAAGAACACTACACCCACAGTGAAACACGGTGGTGGCAGCATCATGCGGTGCAGTAGATTTTTGCCTGTTATGCTTTTCAACTGGATCTGGGGTTTTAGTCGAGGTGAGTAGAATTATGAAGAGCTCCTATTACCACCCCCACACGCACATTTCAAATATTTCATAAAACACTGAAGATAAAGAATTTTGTATTTTAGCATTATTTAATGGATGTACACTCTTATCCAATCTAACACATTTCCCTCCTAACAGATCTTTATTTTTCAGTTGAATTGTACAATAGATGTCAAATTTAAAACGGAAAATTATTTCCATTTTTTATTTTACCTTTTATTTAACCAGGAAATTATCAAATCAGGCATTTAAATCACCGATCTCTTTTGCAAGGGAGGTCTGGGCCTGAAGGCAGCCTCTCGTGCATGTTTTTCATTGTGGGAGGAAACTGGACTACCATATTTTTCGCTGTATAAGTCATCATCATCATCATCAACTTTATTTATAAAGCACTTTAACACAGCCATAGCTGAAACAAAGTGCTGAAACATCAGTTAAAAACAAGATAAAAGACAGCATAAAAACAGAACTACAAACCCAAGCACACAACTCAATTTAAAACACAATAAAACAACAAGTTAAACAGATAAAATCAACACCAATAAAATAAAATAAAAAGTCGCACCTTTTTGTATAAATTTACATGTTCTGTGACCATTACACATTTTTTCTCCATATTTATAACAATTTTTGGCTGAGGTCTGACGATTTCATTCATTCCGACATGGAAAATATTGAACACTACCATTTTCAGCCACTAGAGGGCCCTCGACAAATACGGTAAGCCAAGTGTCTCATTAATAGGTCAAATTAATAGCTATTAATGAGACGCTTGGCTTGCCACAGCGAGTCCTCCCTCTGCATGCAGCCGCGAATCGGCTTTTGAAATGCAGCTGATTTGACCTCTAAAGTGCATTTATTAAGAAAAAGTTGGACTGAAACACCTTTGCTATAATTTCAAGCAAAAAAATAATTGTTTTTAAGTGTTAATCTTGTTAAATTCTTGTTAGAATCCTCCCGTGCACGATCCCACGGCCGCCGTTTGCAGCAAATAATTTTTCGGCACAACACCGGCCCACATTTCTGGGTTGTTGGCAATGAAGCATAATAGATGCAACTTCTGTGGCGAAGCGACTTATTTATATATTTTTCCACTTTATTAGTCATATTTAGACTGATGCGACTTATACGGTGGTGCGACGTGTATAGCGGCAAGTACGGTTCTTAAAGAAAACTGGCAAGTGCATTGAAAACATGCAAACTCCACACAGAAAGACCCCAGGTCCAAATTGGGGATTGAACCCACCCTTGGACCTTCTTGCTGTGAGGCAACAGTGCTAACCACTGAACTGTCGTGCTGCCATTGGCAATGCCAATTTAAAACAATTTATAATTTTTTAAAAACCACACAACCCTGATATTTTAACAGGTGTGTACACATTCTATGGTTACTGTTTATAAGAATCATTGCTTTTATGTTGAATTATCCAAACCGCTTCCGCTTTTCAAGACATTCTCTTGTCTAAACCACTTTAAATATATTTTGTTTTATATATATTTTGAAACATAAGACACCAAAAACTTTCAGTGACATAGGTTGGTTTGGCATGTTACTATGTTCTGTACAGGATAAAAATGATTAACGTGGTAAAAACAATTTGAAAATTGCTGAATTGTTTATTATCCGCCTCGCTCTTGGAATTCTCCCATTTTATAAACCCTTAACATTTTACATATTTCATTTATACCTTATTTTGATTAAATTTCAGCACAAAAACATTAACACTAAAACATTTCAGGACGTCATGTCATAATAATGTTGCAGCAGGGTGATTCCTGGTGTTACATACGTTTATATATTTAGACATTAGATCAACGTCCACATAAGTTACTGGAAGAGATCCAGTCGTGTCATTTGCTCACTGCAGTTTATTTATAGTTGTCTGTGTGATTTGAATAACATTTAGTCTTTTTATTACCAACACAATTTAGAAAATCACAAGAAACATAACCATTTGCATAAACATTGAAAGATTTTTAAAGACAGCAGTTTTATACCGTTATCGCTGAATAGAAAAGCAGATTTAAACAAGTTATGCCGTTTTAATGTGGTCTGTCAACCCAAAACTAGTATAAAAGCATTACGAAGGTGGATAAACTCAGGTGGGTGAAATACCAAAGATAAATACATGGTTATGTAATCATCTCGCCCCACAGAAAGTGGTGTCGGTCTATTTGAGTCAGAAGAAGCCGTTAAGTCACAGAAGACAAATGTCTTCAAATGTCATTTACTGCACAGATATATTGATTTTTGTCCGAAAAGCAGGTGTGTTTTATGGCCAATTCTGAATTTCAGCTTTCAGAATTTAATTTGTACAGTGGTGCTTGAAAGTTTATGAAGCCTTTAAATTTTTCTTAAGCGGAGTAGGAGAAGGCCCTTTTGTCTAGTTCAGTCCGCACTGAGGGAACACTGCAGGTAATAATGTCCTGAGAGCGCACGCTGTAGCTGCACTCACACAGAGACATGTAGGAGATGTATGAAGGCAGCAGACCAAGAAGTGATTTAAAGATGAAAATATACCAGTGAGTCTGCGTGAAGTTAATGATGACCAGTTAACCAGTGAATACAGGGTGCAGTTATGGTAGTTACAGCCAGTTATGAATCTTAGTGCACCATGATAGACAGCATCCAACATCTGCAGGGTTCTTGTAGGAACGTTCATGTAAATAATGTCACCGTAATCTATGGAGGGAAGGAAAGTCACAGTTTCAAGGTGTTTCCTAGCATTCAGAGTTAGACAGGATCTGTTCCTGAAAGAAAAACCCAGTTTAACTTTCAGTTTCCTTACTAGGTTTTCCACGTGAAGCTTAAAAGAGAGAAGCGAATTGACCGAGATACCCAAATATTTGTAGGACTTGACAAACTCAATAGGAACAGCATTCGAAGATGAAATGGACGGAAGGACTGCTGGAACTGGCTTCCTGTTTGAAAACAACATCCCTTTGGTTTTGTCAGCGTTTAGCACCAGTTTGAGACGGAGCAAATCTGACTGGATGATGTCAAAAGTGGATTGCAAAAGCTGGAAAGCCTTAGCAACTGTTTTAGCTCG